TCCTTCCTTCCTTCCTTTCTTCCTCAGATTTGTCTTCCTTGTTACTAGGTTTGCTAGCCAGTTGCAGAACTCTTTCCAAATCCTCACAGGGGAGTGCAAATGCCGTGGTGTCAAGGACCAATTCCCCACTCGGATCGACCTTTCTCTCAGCCCAAGCAATTGCATCCATCTCTCGTCACCAAATCATTTCTCCCTCAGCACGAACCTCACAGACCAAGGCCTACAATGCGTGTCAAGTACTACGAGCCTGAAGAGCTTCAAGGGCTGGGGATCACCAGAACTTCTCAGAGTGTGAAGAAACTGGTCGAAGAAGCATTCGACGAAACAGGCGACGGGGTAGCGGGCACCAAAAAACTGGGTACACAATCGAATAAAAACACAGCACAATTCTCCCGCAAGTTGCCAGGGTATGGAACGTCGGCGATGGGTTGACCAATGTCAAAGAGGGACTGGCAAGATTTGACGTGACCTTGATGGTGCAGGATCGAGGATAGAATAGGCGTCTTATCTGTTATTAGCGCGTCGATCGCCTAGCTCCTACAGAACTCGACCTTGATGTCTTAATGTTCGGAGACCGCACTTATGCCAACGTCAGGCAAATCTGCAGGCAGCCCAGCCCGTTCGGGCAAGGGTGATTCCGCCCTGGACTCACCCCCTGGTCACCACTGAGAGCTGTCGCCTGCTGATGAAGACCACGTTCGATGGTCAACCAAGATTCAGAGGTCGATCCATCGATTGGACTTTGGGAAAATGGAAGGCGGAAGGCCACATTAGTCTTTGGAGAACTGAGACTGAGAAAAGATATCCGGGGCGGCGAGGAAGTTATTGCGAGTAAAGGAACGGCATCTCAAACCAATCTCTGCCACCTACTAAAGTGCAAAGCAAGGACGGCCGACTTTCTGGAGGTTGATAATCTCCCGCTTCCGACGAGAGTTTCATTGACAACTGCGACCTGAATATCGTTGTTCCTAGTTCAATAGGGATTGGACAGGAATTGTTGTATCTCGCTCAGCGTTTGAGTCCCTGGAATACTCAACGGGCTGACTTTCTTTGTCCTCAGAACCGTCCTCGCTGCCACTGTCCATGTCTGCGCCACCGCCTGTTTCAGGAATTTTGAAGTGGGAAAACAACTCGGTTTCGTCCTTGCTTTCCTTCATCAACCTGATCACTGTTTCCTGCTCCGCAGTCGATCCTTCTCGCATGACCGTCAGAATCTCATGCAGCAATGCTATCTTGGCTTCTTTTTCTTGTTGATGCGGCCTCATGCGTCGGTCATTCCCGACATGGCAATCCAAATCTTTCGTCAGACAACGATGGCAAGGTATGGTTCCGCTGCACTGTGCCGAATCAATACCTCCGAAAGCCAGGCCTGAGGAATTCAATTTCGCACCTTTCTTTTGTATATTTGACATTCTCGACATGCCGTTGTGGCTCTCTTCCGGGGACCGTCTAGTCGCCCCATCGCTCTAGCGGTTGTTGAGGACGCTTCCATTTGTTAATAGAAGCAGATTTGATGGGGTGCTGGGACTGACGCTGTGTATCCAGAGATTCAAGTGTAAGTGGAATTGACTTGACTGATTGATGAGGCAAGGAAATCTATCAAGCGCAGCCTGCGGATTTCTTGTACGTGGCGGTGGTAATTATTCGGCTAACCTTCCCGATCAGGGTTACGGCAACATCAAGGCGACAAAGATCCAGCATTCCCAAGACTGTTGCCTGGCGACCACGTGATCGGGACAGCTATTTTGGATGCTGCCGTCACCGCGAGACACTGGTATGCGTCGCCGTTCGCGGGGCAACGAATCACATTCCCCCTGCCTCCCTGATCCTTCAGACCAGGAAGCCAAGCCTGCTCTTGACCCTGACCTAGACATGCCGAAGACTCGAGGGATTGTTCCGAGTATCTTTTGGATCAATTTCGTCTTTGTTGGACACCCACTTGCTGCAATGATCTACTTTTTTTGCTTGTTGCGACCTCGAATGAAGGAGAGGCTGGCTTCAATTTGGCCATTGTACTTGACCTGACCAGCTGGTTTCATGTCCCACATCCTGTCATATAGAGCCCAAAATCGCCAAAATCGGTCCGGTAGTTGGGGCGTGGAAACTACGCGCCACCTGAGGAGAACAAAGACAAAACGCTCGAAGATTCGCTATGTGTGGATATGTCGACAGCTGAGTTAGAGCCGACGGTCGTCAACGTGTCGAACATTGAGGCTTGAAGACGGCCAAGGCGATTCCTCATTCGCAGGCATGAAGTCGGAAGGTCAAACCCAGACCATCGATTGCCTCAACAGTGCTCGTCCGCAATCCTCTACCGCGGGTTCCGCGACTCCAGGCTTGATAAAACTTGCTCTTTTTGAGTGACTTTGCAGCTTGTTCGCGCGAAGACCAGACATCACACCCGAATCCTGTCGTCCCCAGGGATCTGGAGCTCGGAGAACTGGCTCGAGTTCTTTCTCTTTGACGAAAGACTGAATCTCGTCAACGTTGGACTTGAAGTCCTTGATGTCCTCATGTTGAGGTCCATGTCGATCGGGGCGGCCGCGAAGCACATTTTCTGCAAGGTCACGCAACATTTCCCAATTCAAAGGTGTGCCACAGCCGAAGAAAGACCCCCCAAAGAGAAGAAGCCCGGATTGTCTCGCCCGTTCAAACCAGGAACAGAAGACTATTACTTACTCAGGCAGCCACATGCCGCTACTGAACTCGGGGCGGATGGGGCTGCTGGTAGTGTCATCACCCGCATCGAAACGGCCTGTGCTGGCCAGGGAGGACTTGTTCGACATACGAGTTATATCAACAGCGCACCGGCAGATGCAGCGCAGAGCGACTTAGCTTAGGGTCACATTGACTTTTGATGCCGCATCATGCCTTGCTGTGCGTTTTTTTGACCGGTGTATCTTCGAGGAGCACTATGCTACGAGTCTGAACAAGAACACGGGTGCAGACCACCCACAGAGCAAACACCATGCTATCCTTGTCGTCTCTCCTGGGTGGAACGAGCGAAATGATGTCCATCAATGACTTCTCGCCAAAATATCAGCATCACCTACAAACTAGTGATCTGGCGTTTCGCCAACCGCTCCTGGGTAGTCTCTGTCCAGGCCGCGGCCGAGGTCGAGCTTCAGGCGACAGCTTCACGTGTCATACTGCCTCCTCAATATCACTAGGTGCGAGCCATCCAAGAGTTGGGTACTGTCAGCGGTAGTTGAAAGCGTGTTGACCGGACATCTACGTACATTTGGTCAAAACTGAACAGACGACGCCTGGAATCACATTCCACAAGACGCCAAGATACGAGGCCCGGAGGCCGCATGGTAGCATCCCAAGGTCCACCTTCTTCCGCGGCTGAATTACAAGATCCTCAGTTAGAAGTCGAGATCAGTCGTCTTTCGTCAACTTAGTCTTCGTCAAAAGCCGTGTTCTGGTGCCAGTTCTGACAAAGTGGGCAAAGTTTGGTGTGAGCGAATTCTGCACGTTGGCCAAATGAAGATCTTTCCGCTCTCCTCGCATCGGCAGTACGAACCCTGTGGCAGTCGCTCGTTTTCCCCTCCCGGCAGAGGTTCCCGATATACTCTGGCTTTCACATGTTGGGTACCAACTTGATGGGGTTGGGAAATTGGGCTGGTCGTCCTCGTTGGCAGTTATGTGCGGAACTTGCAGTTGTGTTCTTGGCTCGGCGGATCATCAGATGGTACGTGTGAGCCTTATTTGTTCATGATGCTTTCTCCGCGCCGACTTGTTTTTCAGATGACATTGGACGGACCAAATAACGAACGCTACTGGAGCTGACTGAGGGTTTCGAGATCCGCATTACAGTGGCTCTGCTCTCCACCACCGCAAATTGTGAAGGCGATTTAGATCACTCTCTAAATCTCCATACCTCCCACCGAGTCGACTCCTCAGCCACAAGGTGAATCAGGATCGACAGTTAGTCCTTGAGGCCGGGGTCCCAGCAACAGACTCGCGGCGAAGTATTGGACGGTGATAGATGCTCTCAACCTGGGTGGGGTTATGAGAACCACGAGATTTCGAAAGGCGAAATCTATCCTCCAGCACTTTCGTGGCCGCTGGGTATGGGTGTCTACCTACATCTGACCATGCATCGAGAAACTGGGGAGACTACGCAAAGGCAACGAGAAACTGGGCGAACACAACTACAAACTGTGGAAGAAGGGCAGCAAGGGACGTTGGAGAAGCGCTACGAAGGGCGGCTTGGAGCTGTATCGGGCGACATCTCGTCAACCCAGGGGGCAGCTCCAGCTCGACGAAGTGGTGTTGTACTATGGTCACTACTCAGCGCTCCGACAACCAGCACATGGACTGCGAACATCGTAGGGATGGGGTGCACTCGCAGAATATGATGTGTCCGCCTTGTTTGATTGGTACTGCCATGTACAAGTGTATGATACGCAGAGGTCCATGTCCATGGAATACATCAACATCGTCATGCCGCCAGATTGATTGACCTTTCAAGAAATTGAAATGGATGGAGTCGCCGGTGGATAGATTTCACCATCCCTCCCATGGGCAAATCTGCTCAAGGGGCTGTTGAGGAAGCCATCACAGGCCATCCCGCGGCCCATTCGCGATGGGATAATCCTGCATATTGTAAACGTAAACATGGTCAGCAGGCCATGTAGGCTGCGCGAGCTGATCCCACTGATACAGGCTACTTGAGTCGTAACTGGGTATACCAGCGTACGTATAAACATGGTCAGGAGGCCATGTAGGCTGGGTGAACTGATCCCACTGATACAGGTTACTTGAGTCGTAACTGGGTATACCAGCGTACGTGTTCTGTAGTAGTAGCTCATACTCCAGATTGGCGGCGGTGGCAGGGTGCGTCGAAAAGTCGAACACTGGCTGGCAATGGATTCCCCAGGGGAGGCTGTAGGCTTCGGGCGTATCAAACCGCGAGAAATAGTCATCGAATGGCAAGATCCCTGCCGAGTTCTGCGGAGCTGTAATCGGAGGTGGTTTCTCCGGAGACTCTGGAGCCTCTAAGGGGGCCAGTGCCCTTTGTTGCTGTTCGGGATCAGAGGAAGATTCGACGCGGCGTTCGGGGTCGATGGTTTGTCCCATGAGCTTCAGGCGTTCGCGCTCGGTGGCTTCTCTCTTGAGCCTCAGGCGCTTCCGTCGCTGCCCTCCTAGTCAGTATATCACTTCCACTAGTCGCCAGCGCCAGAGGGGTCAGCGTACCTTCCAAACCCGGTCCCGAGTTAGCGCTCTGTCACGCCAATGGGAAATATTCCTCCAGTCATCACCGGGGTCGAATGAGAAGCAGATGGATGGGCCTATATTCTGCGTCGAGGATCGGGGTATTGTGTCACAAGAGGAATAATGATGACTCTGATGATGCGACACATCTGAGACCAGTGGGGTGTTTCCACTGAAATTTGACGGGGGAAGAGGGTTTTGCTTCGGAGGTTCCTGGTCAAGTTGGAAAAGGGCGGAGAAGTTGTACTGTTGCACTTCCTCGAACACGTTGCTTGTGGAATCGCCGTGCAGGACTCCCACTTGTCCCAGGATGTCGTGCATCCATGGCGCTTCGTGGCTGGCCGCCTCCCAGGGCGCGCTGTTCTCGTCCGGACAGATGAGGTCACTATGGAGCTGTGCCTCGGCGGTATATTCAGATGGCAACTGGTTTGAAAATCGCTGTATTGTTGCCTGGGACTCTGAATTGGTGTCTCCGTCGGAGCGACATGGGCTCCGGGAGGAAGGATTTTCTATCTGGAGAGTGTGGTTCATTTGTCTCTCCAAGGGCTTTTCCTGCTCCGTACCCCGGTTTTCTGATGTCTTTTGCACGAGAAGAGGAGCGTCGAAAGTACACGGCAAGTTGTTTTTACGACATCCACCGCATACAGGTCGTTGTTCTCCGCAATGAATTCTTCTTCGTCGACATTGGTCACAGTTCTTGCGCAGCGGTAGGGGAAAAGGCGTCTCGAAAGCACACGCCGAGTTTTCCTTACGACAATGCCCGCATTCAGGTCGTACTTTGTCGCATTTCAATCCGCTTTTGAGACACTGATTACAAACAGGGTAGTGCTTCAGCAGGTGACCATTCAGACCCCGCGCCGAGGTGAATGCGTACCTGTTGGTGACCTTGCACTCGGGAAATGGGCAGAAGTGTGTTTTCGGACTCTTCTTGTGGTGCCCTAGCCAGTGCCCGTGTGGTCGCTCGTGTCCGAGCACATGTCTTCTCCAGTAATAGGGGTGGGGAAATGTCTGGTTTTTTCCCAAGCAGCTGACGTGGTCGCAGTATATCTCGCCATCTTCGTTGTACGGCGGTAGCCTTTCGAGGGGTGGATAGGTCTCTTGCGATGGCGTGGAGGTAGACGTGTCACGGTGATCGCTAGCTTCATCCTCGTCATCGCACCGAACCGGTTCGTCATTGCTGCGGCCATGATTGTTGTATGCAGCAGGGCTTACCATGAATATCTCACGCACCATGTGTTCTTGAGTCGCTGCCATCTCGGTCTCATAGGATGTAGGAGTTCGGAAGGAGGTAGATATGTCGTCTATGGAGCTCTGTGCGGCGTCATAGCCGACGAGAGAAGTGCCGAATTGAGGATACCAGTTTTCCGAGGACTCGAAGTCGCTGGAGCTCTGTACGGCATCATAGTAGGCGAGGGGTAGACTGGATTGATGGTACCAGTCTTCCGAGGACTCGATGTTGATGGAACCCTGCGCGGCATCATAGTAGGTGAGGGGGAGACTGAATTGAGCGTACCAGTTTTCCGAAGACTCAAAGTCCATGGTGTGATTCTCCTGCTCTGTAGCGGAAGTGAGTTTTGGTAGACATGGGAGAATCGAGTCGTCTCGTGTCGAATTCTTCGACACAGGGGTGTCTTATCTGTAGTATGGGTGGATGAGTGCGGGAGAGCACTACTTTCTCACATAGCAAAAATGAGGGTCAATCACTGACGAGCAGAGCGGCGGATCTTCCATCGAAGCGCAGTTTATGTCGGTGGCACAGAAGTTACGAAAGCCCAGCGATCTGAAAAATCTTGTGGCGTGTCATGATCGGCGATTGGGGATGCCTAGACCAATGAGATACGTTGTCTCGGTGGCCAGGGGAGGCGCGGCCATCCAGAATGATCAGGTCAGGACCCTTGTTCGGCTGGAGGAGTTCTACGGGTTGTACGGGTTGTACCAGTGGAGATCGCGGGGATCCAAGGGAGAGCCCCAGGTTGCCACATGAATGATACTATTGATCGGGCTTCAACGCCAAATGCTGGTTCTCAGAAACTAGACTTAGTGGCGTTGTGAACCTGCGTTTCACGCACGACTGGCTCAGTATCTATTGTATCGCCTCACAAGCGAATTCAGCTTCAAATTCAATCGCTGTTCTTGATAAAGACACATTTTTGTCACGCCACTCCACACGGTTTAGTCCGCATGTCCGTATCTGGCCGCCAAAGACTCCGAATGACTAGCGCGGTGGCAAGCAACTTTGTTGGGTTCCGGTTGGCCACTGGGAGGACCAAGTGCATGGAGCCAAGCAGGAAGGCAGGCAGCGGCCTGCGCCCCAACCCGGCTTGACAAGAGAGTTCGCATTCCGTATCACCTTTGACGTAAGTTCAGGGGGCGTTCCGGCCCTTGTCTTCCCCTAGTGTAGGTCTAGGCGGTAGGCCCTAAGGGGCTGGTGGGGGGTTGGAGTTACTTACTACGATCGCTAGTCTGTGCCTGCCAAGCATTTCGGTGAGCAGCCCTAGGCCACAAGCCGTGCAAACCCCCAGAGACCCCTCCCCCCTATCTCCAGGTCGCCGTGCCCTTGCAAAAGTGACCAAGTTACGTTCTTGCAGGAAAGCAGGGAATGTCCAATCTTGTAGTCTTGCATCATCCCATGCCTGTTTTTGTATGGCCATTCGTGTTCTCAGACCTGCACCTGCTCGCCGGGTCGCATCACTAAGGGACATGTCGCCATGGCTGACTGGCTCATCACTGCAATTATCTTCCGGTGTGTGAATGTCGGTCTTTGCATCCAGGCCTTCGATGTTACATCAGGGTCGAACTCCTGGAACCCACCTTTTTACTTTTTTACCAGCCACCGCTTGATCAAATTTGCACTTGCGACCAAACAGATCCGGGCTGCGACACGTCCGTGGGCTTCAGCACATGCCATCGAAGGCTTTGTGGAGGTAAACTCACTCACTATGCAGGCCGTGCGCCCATACTAACGCCCACAGTCTACACAAGTATGGCACTTGCGCTGTCAAGCCTTCGGACGAGTAAAGTTTATCACGGGCGTTCGATAGGCCTTCCTCACACGGCTGCTGTTGTTTTCACAGTCGTTCACGTCACGGATCAGTGGCTTCAATTCGCAATTTGGAGATTTTCTTGCAAGTCCTGGTAAGCGACAGTGACAACTCCAAAAGCACCACTATGAGCCAGACGCACTGCAATTGGAGAATGACCAGAAATGTCCTCCAAATGGTGATTTCAGCCCCGAGTCTTTCGGTCCACGTTGACCGTACCTCAGTCGAGGCTATCGTCCATCCCGCGGATTCTGATTGTCAGAAACATCCTCACTACACCATCATCCATCTAAGGAACCTCCTCAGGTTATCTTGTTCTCCAGGTACATCGAAACAGCCATGACTTCCGACCCGACATCCACTGTATAGACAGAGACAACCAGCATTCTCGAATGGTCGGAGGACCACCACAGCCATTTAAATTCCCGAACAATCACGCTTGCTCTGAGGGCCAGCCGTCCCCAATACGATATCTGCCGTGATAATCTGAATACGGATCTTGACGCTACCGGTGCAAAACTCTCTAGAGACGTCCAGAATCCGAAACATATCATCTTCCTGCCACTGCTCAACCTGCTCGGATCAAAGATTCATTTTTGTTCGAGGAGAGACAGACTCCCCAAAAGAATCGTCTTGTAGGCACCCATGTCTAAGAGACAACTGCGTCCAAATCTCGCCTCAATTCAGTATACATGAAGAGGTCCTCTACAATTGAACTCGGTCTCTCCGTCGGCAAGGATTCCCTGGAAGATGTCAAAAAACATGGACGAGCTGAGGAACATCAATTCATTGGGGTTGTATCGACCTTGCATCTCCCCCGACGTGGCGGGAAGTCTTCCTGGGTGGTCGAGAACAAGGCCAACTCAACTCGGCTCAACCTTGTCTTGTCCCTCGACACAGCACCTCCAAACCTTGCATCCCATACCACATTTATCATGGATACGCCTTCGACATCCCCGCGCCCCCATCCTCAACTCGTAGCGGGCATTATGACTGTTCGTTATCACATCCTTCCCATGTTGCCGGGTCGGCGGAGCATAGTCTGAATAGCGCGTGGGAGATCGGGGGCGCATCATTTGTTGAGATGCAGCGTTTGTGGCATCGACTTTGGAATCGACTTTGGCTTCGTGAGTGCTTTTGGTCGCCCCACGAGCCTCAACATCCGTTCCGTTCTTGTTCGAGGCTCGGGTTCGTCGCGGCCGAGTCGTCTGGCGTTGTGACCGATCTGAGGAATTTCAATGGGCTCGATACTCGCCGGCAGAACTTTTCGTGCAGTTTCATCGTCATAATGTCAACGGATTCTCAGGTGTCAAATGTTGCAATATGTTACTGAGAGATCTGGACCCGGGCTCAAGACCGTTCTCTTTCCTTTTGATACCTTCGGTCTGTAGGCAGTGCCGAGAGTCGGCCTTCATCGACAGGGCTATGAAAGGAACGCCCTAACTTATAGAGTGGTTGAGAGCAGGAGCATTTCATTGGGCGCGAACAAACCGGTGAAGGATATGGTCAACTGTTACCCAGTCAAATGAAAAGAGGACATGCCCGCGTAAATTAGTTTCTGATTCCTGCTGCGACGAGGCGAATTTAGATGTTCTCGCGAACCAAAAGCTCTATCACGCTTCGAAGGAAACGCAGGTAAATCCTCCAAGCACTCTCCGAAATCGGTGAAGCACCGTCTTAACGTGATACTGCCTGACAAAATTCGAGCAAGTCCTTTGAAAATGAAGCCGACCGCTTGGAAATCTTCGTCTCTATGTCCGATTGAACCTGTCTATACTATACGTTAATGTATCGCCCCCTCTGCCCGCTTTCTCTCAAATCTCTACCACAATGGTGTTGTAAAACACTCACATGTACTTGAATGCGCTTTGTTGTACCGCTCTCTTTCACACACAGACCAAATGACGCTGCAGCTCAGTATGCCGGCCAGGAACAAAATGTAATGCCAATGTTATATCCCTCGTTCCCCTTGCACAAAATTTGTATGTCTTTGAAGTTCAAAACTATTTGCTTCCCAAAATTTTGTCGCCAAAGCTGGTATGTGAACATGATGGTGATGTTCTCCGCCATGGGCCTGTCTGTCTTCGTCGCGTCTCACTGCTGGTCGAACGTTGGCCACAGTTGCTGGCATTTCTTCCCCGCTGTTGACCTGTACAGCTATCTGATCGATTTTTTTGCGCGCGCAGGGTGCCAGGGCGTGTGTATAGAGTCTTGTTGGCTGATCCCAGAGCAACCACCACATCCCTGCATTCGAGAAGACAGCGAGCGCTAGCGTAGAATTGGGACTGTCTATCGGAATTTTTGAGCGAGCTCGAAGCTTCTGGCCTTTCTTTCCTGCGATGAAAATCTTGTAGAGAGAATGGGGCTTTTGGTGTGAGAGGTAGGGAGCTCTTTGGCCTCATCCTCCGTCGATGCCGCAGGTAGTTGTGCAGGTGAGGATGGCCGGTGTGGTAGGTGTGGTAACGATCGCGAGAGTGGTGGCAAGGATCCAGAGCTGCCGGGCACTGCTCTGAACGTAGTGCGTTCTGAATTTGATTCCAGTCCGTCGAAGGTATCCTCGTCGGGCTGGGAGGCTTTAGGAGGCAGCGCATGACCGAAATCGATCTTTGGGTTTTGGTGTAGTGCAGTGAGATTCGGTGGATTCTGTGGATTGGGGACTTCGAAATGGAAGACAGTGACAGGGTATAGATGACACGACGGTAGCTACGTACACAATTGTACTCGACGGAAACAACTCTAGAGCTCTTATATACCGCCGTGGAAATTAATTATTCGGCCAACCTTCTTGATCCCTGAGGGTTAGGGCAACATACGAGCTGGGACAAGGCCATCCAGTCCCCCCGAATTACACACCGCCACTGTAGATCGGACAAGATCGGGAGGAGGGGGTCTGCCCATGCTCCCCGTTTCGACCTGGGGGAGGGTGATGACGCCGTTGGCAATTATTTGATTTGAAACCCGCTCACCGGAAATCAAAGATGCGGGGGTGCCTCCCTCGGTATAGCTGGGTCAAATTTGTTGTATCGAACCTGGGGTTGGGAACGAGCACGCTGGTCGGGATTGACTTGGCTGATGTCGCAAAGTTTGTGTCAGCGAGAGACTCTTTAGTCCTTGTCTTGTTCTTGCGCACGGTTCGCGCCAACAGGTCCTCGAGCCCGTCGACGTCGCTGCTCCGGTTGCTCCGGCAGGTTCTGCGCGGCCGGAGCGGGAGTGTCTTTGTGCCGGAGAAGTTCTGGGTCGGTACGGACGCTGTTGAGGGCCCTGCCGGACTGGTAACGCTGGACTTTGAAGCGAGCAATCTTTCCCCAGTCGTGGTACTTATCTACGTACCCGTCTGTCTGTCGCAAGGCTGCTTACTCTCGGCCCCTTGTCCCGACTCCGGGAGCAATCACCACATGCTCCTTGTCCGAGTACCATACTCCATGAAATTGGCTGTAGCTTCTTGCTGCTGCGCGACATGCTGACTCCTGCACTTGTCTCGCTTCAACATGGGTTGTGTAGGAGGAGTGGGCGACCGACGAGTGGGAGTATGCGGCTCCGTCTCCGTCTGGACCAGGCAAGGAAGACGCTGACGAGATAGAGATCTTGGCTTCTGTTAGCTTCTGTTAGGAGGGAGTTGAAGCCTTGCATAGAGGAGCCGCAAGGGGGCGAGAGGCAGGCAGGCAGGCTAGTGCGACGTTGTCCGGCTGTGTTCATGTTGAGAATGGTTCGTTGTCCATATGGGATGGCGAAGCACATCTTCTATCCTTGGGCGCACATTGGCAGTCAAGTCACCTGCCCCTCGTGCTTGAAGAGGTTTACAACGACCGCAGCTCGGGTGGCGACCATACCTCTTCTGCAAGCAAGCGCTGCGACATCCGCGACAGTGCCAACTTCAAGCCCTGCCAGCCCGTTGAAAATCGAGAGACTTGCAGCCTAGCAAGAGAAGGAGTGGTGGGTGCGTAGCGATGATCTGGTCTGGAACCTCGTTGTCAGTGAAATTTGGTACCCTCCCTCCCCGGCGTGTTCGCACATGTGCAGACTGATGAGGAAATCGGCAAAGATGCAGCAGCACATGTCGGCCGAGACCAGGAGGATCACAAAAGTAGTGGTCCCATTTTGGACAAGAACCAGTGCTTCAGCGAGTGATGGATTTCCACACACCGAGCTGTCCTCGCCGTGGATCTTGGCTGCGCTCCAAGACCCGCCGCAACATCTCGGAGCAAGTGTGTCGTTGTGCCCTTATGAAACCGCGCGACGGCCGCTCCCGTGCTTTTCATCGTTCTTGTTATTTATCAATCACCCAGGCACCATCACTTCGGTTCATCGTCTTCCATCTCGTTGTCGTCGTGTTTGTCGTTGTGTGTCTGGGAAGGGGGGGAAGCATTCACGGATGGGAATATGCCGTTTGAGACTGCTCCGTTGAGTGTATGTGCGGCTACAGTCGGGACACTTGTATCCAGCATCTTTTGCTCGACGAGAGGGTCGCAGGACGTGAGAGTTGGAGATCGATCTGCAACAAACAGTTGTACTAGGACTGCCCTGGATCATCCCAGTGTCAGCCATCTGTCCCTCCGACCGTGGTTCAAGAGTTCACACGAAAAGCCAAGGGATCTTCTGTGCCTTACAAGAAGCGCCGTTTCAAAGCTGGTTTACTCTGGGCGTCAGTCATGGGGGTGCTGCACAGGAGATTCAATCTCCCACTGACCTGAAGCGGAGCGTTTTCCCGTTTGGAGACTCTGGGCAAATGGAGATAAGGACAGCAGGGTCTCCTGGCGGGGAATCCCAGATGTCCTATGAACATTGCTTTGCTCCGATCTAGAATCATGTAGCGCCTGAGGGCAGCAGCGCCCGACGCCGCAGACACTGCATCTCGTGGGTGCCATTGGGGCCTCTTGGTGAGACCGCTGGGTGCCACTAAATGGCTCCGCTTCGCCTCGATGTATTTTTGGCAAGGCTTTCCAGCGTCTACCGACACTCCAGGGAACACGCACGAAGTTCCGTATGCTCCAAACGCGAGGCGAGTTTCCCAGGCAGCGACAGTCTCGACAGGATGGGCAGCGCTTGGATGGACCAGTTATGGAGCTTGAGCAGGAGACGAATGCTGGGGATCCAGTAGGGCCCGGCCCTAGCGGAAAGAGCGCGGAAGCCTGGAACGGCACGCATGGTTGAGAACATGGCGCGACGTACAGTGTAAGTGGAATAACTTGATTGATTAGGTAAGGAAATCTATCTGGCGCGCCTTCGGACTAGATATGGAAATTATTCGGCCAACCTTCCTGATTAGGGCAATATACGGCTGGAACAAGTCGTCTACTGCTGATTCTCCTGCGGCTGCCTTGACTTTCTTTCTTCATTTCACTTCACATTCGACTCAACGCAAAGATCTTGGTTCGTCATTGGATACGCATGAGACGATAATGGCCCAGTCGACTTCATCGACGCAACTGGAACGTATGGATTTCCTACATCCTTTCCTCCGCTTTACCCATGTCTGACAAGCACATCTCGAACAGTGACACACTTGGAGGACCTCAAGCCGAAATATGTTCTTGGACGTGTAAGGCCCATAGACTTGCATATCGCCTCAATGAAGAAAAACCTGGAATTCCACAATCAAGTGGAGATTTACGACGCGTATCCTCCCGGTATCTTGGATGGCTGGAACGAAATGTCCAGAGACGAGTTCTTCAGATACTTCAGTCGGAAAAAGAGCGGTGGAAGCGACATGACAGACACAGAACATTGGATCGCTGTCTACATCGGGCACGGCCGCCCACCATCACAAGACTTTGTGCTTCTGCGCAGTCTCCAGGTCGAGTCTCCCATGATTCATTTGAGCAGCGCTGACTTGAATACAAGGCCGAACATCTGACTCCTCTCCTTCGTCTATTGTCGCGGCTGTACGACATCCAGGACCGATTCATCAAGCATCGCGACCCAACGTCTTGCCACCGAGATCTATGTTGGCTGTATGGCGAGATGCAGAAAGAGTACAGCACAGCCCTGCCAACTATCGCTTCCAACTTGTCCGACCTGTCAAACGGGCTTGAATGTCTGACCATGGTGAGTGGCTTCTATGTTCATGTGATGAACATGGTAGCGCTGTCCAATACATGGTCACCAATGCTCCAAGACATGATATTTGGACCCCAGAAGGCTCTGATCGACGCAGAGAAGACGCTCCTCAAGCTCCTTAAGCGACATGTGCGCCTCAAAGTTCCTCAACCGGTCAACTATCCGCAAAGAAAGTAAAACTGGCCACCACTCTGATATGAGCCTCGACAGGGACTAGAGTTCAGATCTTCACATCATCAAGAGAAGGAGAGCATACCTTTGCTGTTCCTAAAGCAACCAAGCCCAGGCCATAATTCTCAGAGTGCGTGGAGAGAAGGAGATTCGTCCAAAATTAGTTTGGCATTTTCAATAGGATTGATGCAATGACAGTCATCGTGATGGACATGACTCCCTAGTGTTGTTTCGACGGCTTCCAAGTCACGTTGCACACTGCCAAGGTGTGATAAAGGTGTGATATACCATGGCCTCTAACCAGGGTAAGCTAGCCAAGGACTGGGCGCACCCGAATTGGGCGGTTAAGTAGCGGTGTGCCCTCGCTCACTCCTCAAAGCCTCTTCAAGGCTTCGAATCTCTGTACATAGAGGACATAGCTACATAGCCTTGGTTTATTCGTTCAATCCATCTATCTATCAGACTCCGCGGGCTTTCTCTTGCAGACGCGCCCTCTGAGTGTTCGCAGCAATTGGCCCATAAACACAGGCTCCCCTGACACCCTCCCCCCCTCCCCCTATCTCGACACCCCGACCGCAGCTCGTGTACTCCAGAGTGTTTATTTTTTCTGCGTCAAGATCACAAAAAAGTATGAAGTGGCAACCATGTTTCAGCATTTGGAGAGTGTTGCCTACTTGGCTCCGCTGTTGCTTCAATCCGCCACCCGAGGATCGACCTGACGGAGGTGACCTTGCCAGGCCGGTTATTATCCATCAACACATGCAGCATGCGTCTCGCCCATACACGACAATGAACCAAGGATCGAGTCGGCATGAGACCTCTGAACGAGAGAAAGCCAACTGGGTACAAAAGAAGGACCGATTCCAAGATCACCAGAAAGACTGTGAGCCATGCCAGACAGCAGAATGCACGAGGCTCAAGCAATATTTGTATTCCATCTTGGAGAGCCGGAAGGGTGCGAAAAGTCGAATTTATCTCGACAACAACTTCCACCCCGATCGAAATGGCTCTTACGCCGCAGAGGTGACACTGACGAGGTTCAGCGCGAATCCGAAGACGGCGATGTTGGTCTTTGAGGAGCAGCCGAAGAAAGATCCGACGGTCCCGTACACACTGGAATTCGAGTGGAAAGAGTTGAAGCACATGGACCCGTTGCGGAAGATCGGTATCCCGGGCTGCGAGATAAGCACCGAGATCCTCTAGGAAGAAAAAGGTCGGTGTCATGAGAGACACGCATATTTGTCCACCATCATTTCAACTGCGACCCAGCTTTTTCGTGAGAAAATCAGTCTTTCAAGCCCAGTCTGGATCTACAGAACATTTGATGAGCATCGTTACGAGCAGCCGCATATGAGCGTCAAAGGTCACCAGAGCTATTTCGCCGCAGGGTGACTGTGTATTTTGTCGATGGGGGTAGCGTGAGTCGTGAGGCAACGGACTCAGCCGCCGGCGGCCTCTTTGCGAGTTTGATTTTGACGACGACGTTATCAGGACCTGCGCCAGGGAGTAGGTGCCGACAGCTTGGATTTCGGTATATTGTATTTGCCCATCTGTATTTTCTATATATAACATGTCATATATATTAACGACTTAACGCTTTGAGAAGGAGGAAGAATTAATTCCCACCTGAGTTGGGTGGTCGGACCACCTGAGTTGGGTGAGAGGGCTGTTGCAGCTGCCCCTCTATACTGTCACGTGGAGTAAGCACAAGGTGGGGTGGTCAGCAGACTTACGTTCGACCCACAGCGTTACGCTTTCAGCCTTGTGCATTGACAGCCTTGTGCGTTGACAGCCTTGTGCGTTGGCAGCCTTGTGTACAACGCCTATTTGTCCTTTGCATACTCATCCGGTCTTGCTTGCACTTCCCTCTTCAATGGGTGGGGAGTGTATGTCTCCTTGGCGATTGTCTATCCGTGACAGACGTCTTGATGAGCTTTGGGAGGACACGTCGTGAGGGGGACTTGTGTCATGGGCATTCCAGGTCTAGATGACCGGTAGCTTAGTGAGGGTTTAGAGGGAGTCCTGCAACTAGCTGGCGAACCTAGTGACAGGGAGGATAAATTTAAGGAGGGAAAGAAAGAAGGAAGAACGTTCCCTCTCTCTCTCCTTATATCATACGCTCTACTGTAAGGGGTATCTATTATCATACCTCTCTCCCTTGCCTCCCTCTTCTGTATACGTCATCCAACCCATCCCTTACGTATGCCCTCCTTACATCTTGTCTCTCCCTCCAGCACACGCACTCGTTTATCTTCTTAAGGGAAAAATGTTGTCAACGTGTGACGACAGTGATGGAAATAGCACAGCTTCTTCAGGAAATTGATTCGCACCGTCGGTCACTAATAAGTGTACATTGTATTGTTTGCGAAGAGAAGGGGTTCCGTCCTTACTGCAGAACTAGCAACTGACATGGATGGTAAAATTGTAACGGCACCACCATGCAAGCCAGCAGAGACCGTCCCGCTGCTACATCTGATCTGGTCAGCGAGTTGACTGACCCAATTCCCCACGCCCCTCACAAGCACCATGATTACTCATCGATGATATTTGCTGCTCCTGAGGGAAGAAGGACCAGGTACAATTGATGACTTTTGCTCCGGAAGGTCACATCAATTCCCCTCAGATTCCACTGTCTCTGTCACGGTCTTGACAAATGCCAGGTGTGGGATACCCCGCACAAGGCTGATTACCCCACACGAGGCTGAATATCTGTGAACTCTTCTACCGTGGATTGCACGTTATTGCTAGTTAGACTCTTTCGTCTCAGAATTCATATCATAATTGCACCCTTAACAGCGATCTCTCCTGTTCAAGGCTGCGCCGTGATAGTCTCCACGCCGCATGGTAGCTAATAGTCACAATGGCGGATCTAGACTTACAGTGGTTCTGGTTCTGGTTCTGGTTCATCACGGTCTTGTACGCTTCTGGATATCCACGTTTAGTCAGATAATTGACTTGACCAGTATCTTCAAATACAATCGTCTCATGATCCACGGAATGATGCAAGCCAATTCGGCTTCCTGACAACCCGACGATCGTGCCGAGAAACGCGACGACCATAATCGCGACCCTCAGTGAGGATCTTCCTTGCCTTTTGGAGGGGTAACAGCGCCATCTAAGGGCCGGTAGTAGATACATCTCGATTTTCAGTCCGTCTGATGTATACGATAACATTCACACCCTTCGTGGAGGGTGTACAGAATCATGCACAAAAACGTCACAATCCTGGTGTCAAAAGTTCGATCCGCCAACAAGCGGGAGCAGGTTGTAACGGTGATCAGGAACATCGGTCAAGAGCGAAGGAACGCCCACAGAATCATTGTGCTTGCCGACGATGATATCGCCTTCGCGGCGAGCTCTCCCGGATGGATCCTTGCACCTTTCGAAGACGACAGGGTCGGAGGAGTAGAATTCCCACCAGTCAACGAGCCAAAAGAATTCAAGCCGGATCAGTATTAGAGGAATGCATCAATTGGACCTTGGCGGACTCCATCGGACGTCGAAACTTTGAAATTCTGAGAACAGGAACCGACAGGTCGCTCTCATGTCTCTCCTGGATATTCCTTGCTTTACGATCGGAGATCGCTGGAGACCTTGGGACACTCGAGAGGTTCGTGAATGAGCCACGGAATGGTCGAAGACTCAATGCAGATTGTACGGGTTTGGAAAGAGTTCTGGAACCAACATAGGAACAAGGAGGATAAATCTGAGGAGAGAAAGAAGAAGGAAGAAGACTCCCTCTCTCTCTCCCCTTATATCGTACGCTCTACTGTAAGGGATACCCATTGTCTTACCCTTCTCCCTTTGCTCCCTCTTTCGTACACGCCATCCATCCCTTACGTACAATTCTCCCTGCACCGTGCGGGACTCGTCCAATCAGGAGGCCGTATTTTATTTGTACATTGTACAGGCGAATTCAACCAATCAGAAGGTGGAATTTAGTCTTGGCACTGGTTCACCGGAACCGAGAGCCTTCTCCTGGGTTCAACCCATCACAGCTGGTTCTCGAAGGCTTTGGTGTAAGGTCTACTAGGCCGCTCGCATACAGCTTTTCACCCACACATATGGCCGCAGACGCCCTGCCCGCTCCGCCCGCCAAATGTATGCTGCTCCGTCCGGAAATTACACCCGAAACACCCGACATATCCGACCAGGTGCGCATGGAGAAACTTTCATCCGAGAGCATCACAAGGCCGATCTGTTGCCTTCCCCTGCCTGCACCTTTTCAAACACGTTTTGTGAATTTCCCATTTTGAGTCAACAAAGATTCCATCCGCCTCACCACTGTGAACCCTGCAAGCGGTTTCGCGGACAGCATTTGACCTTCATGGTAATTCAGTCACTTATAGAACGGTCTAGACTTTCTGACGTTTGAGCAGGAGTTTAAACCTCAAACACACAATCCGCCAATTGATTTTGAGAGCCTCGGAACGAACACCGTCGAACAAGTCATCGGCAAGGGGCCAGACTATGTATTGGAAAGGTTCCAGCGTGACTGTTTTTGAGAAAAACAGGGAGGGAGAAGAATATCATGTGGCTGGCCAGACGAGGCAAGGAGCAGTTCGAGTGGGCCTGGGGTTGTACATTACTGGCGGAAAAGTCAAAGTCGAGGAAGGCTAGATGCATTTTTGGACAAGGGACAAGTGATCTCATGACTTCTTGGTCGAAGTACATGATAGGGCGTATGTCACGAGCCGCCAAGAATATGACACACCTGACAACCCCTTTATCATTTGACCACCGCATGCTCACCCCCTGAGGGGAAACTTCCCCTTTCTTTCCCTCACACTTTGAGTCTTTGTCAATATATAATATCAAGCAAGGAATATACCTATACCTACCTGTTGTTGCCTATCGCTACCCTCTCTGCCTATCTATATGGGCCGTTTCTGACAGCGGACATGCATCAGAGCCCAACTACTCGAACAACCAGCTCCCCCCATCTTATCACGACAGCATGTGCAAGTACGGCAAAGCATTCGCGGTGAAGCGTGAATGTCTGAGGCGACCGCCATTGAAACCACATCGGCTTGAGATACGCATCGTCCGCAGATGCCCACTTCGCCCCGGAAAAGGACAGCGCTGCGAGGATGCATCGCACGAGCCGAGTTACGATCCGGAACCTTGCAGAAAAGGTGGAAGGTGTGAATACTGCCGAGATTCTGGATTGACGCAGGAAATTGTGAGAGTCACATACGTATGTCGAGTGTTCCCCGTTCATGGTTGTTGTCACTGAAGTGTGTGGGATGTGTAGGTGGAGTACCAGGCTCCAGTGTCATAGTGAAGTGGACGCGGAATCTGGAAAGCATGATCTTGTAACAGGGTTTTTTGGTATTTTTTGTACGGGAACGATGCCGGCAGCGTGGTTTTTGATACCTCAGGTATCGAAAGGGATTATGACAATACTAGTATTAGCGCGTGTTATAAGTTTCGAAGGTATCATAATGCTTTGGTACAAGCGTTTAGGGGGCCAAAACTAACGGAAGGCCGGGTAAAGGTGGGGCGGAAATTAGGGAGCCCCTCTACGCTAGACTATATGCAGACTAGACTAGTCTCAACCAAACCACGCTAGTCTAGATACAGTGCCAGTATCCACATGCCAAGAATATCATCATTATACCAATACTAGCCAATCCATACTAGTGTTGTATCAGGCTTATCGGTACAGTATCGGGAACCACACTGCATGCCGGTATGGCATCGTATCCAGATAGTGGTAATTTGGCCATGAATCCATTTTTTCTTCGCCCCATTGATCCATGTTCTTTTTTCCCGATAAATGACTGTGGTACGTGTGATGGGTTGAACCCAGGAGAAGGCTCGGTTCTGGCGAACCAGCGCCAAGACTAACGCTGGGACCATCGCCACCTCCTGATTAGCTGAATTTACCTGTACCCTGATTAGATAAGGCGCGTACGGTGTAAGGGATACTATATCCTAGTAAACTAAGACACCGTATGTAAGGAAAGGTAAGGAAGAGAGATAAAGGTAAGGGAAACGTAAAGCGTGTACGAATGAGGAAGGACAAGAGAGAAAGGGGAAGACAATGAGCATCCCTTACGGAGGAGCGTACGATATAAGGGGAGAGAGAGAGGACGTTATTCCTTCTTCCTCTCCCTCCTCAGATTTATCCTCCTTATTACTAGGTTAGCTAGCTAGTTACAGAACTCTTTCTGAACCCTCACAGTACGGATGTATTGTGGTTGTGCATCATCTGGCGCAGCGATGCTTGTATGATTATCACAGCCCTGACGCGTATCTGTCACGTGGCCTACGACTGAGGCGCGTCCGTGTTTCAACACGCTTTGATGATCTTTGAGTCTTAGTCTCTTTGATACCACGATATCAACTCAATTAAATACCCAACAGACCCTGAAAGGCCACACATGACGCTTCCGCGCTTTGGTCCAGATTCCCGGGCTGGAGTTTCGATTGTGTTCCGACCGACAAGAGGACTCCCTCGATCACCCGAATACCTCGGCGCGGGCAGATCAAGTATTGTATCAAGCAATACACAGCCACCGACGACAACGAGGACGCCATGCATGAAAATAGGATTGTCCCTGCCGATATGGGATGTCAGAATGTAATCTCGGTAAAAGGCAATTGCAAGATGATCGATTTCGAAGGTTGCATTCATTGATGAGCGAAGTCGCAGATTCATGTTGTGAACGGTTCAGTTATCGACCATCGACAACGAGGGTCACCGAACAGACTGATATCTTTGTCTATAGGTGTTTGGTTTACGAAGTTTTGACTGGGAATCTACCATACCAAGAATACAAAGACTCCGTACACGGGGACCACGATGTCGAGCAACCCTACCTGGCCGATCGCTTTCCTGAAGTGTCAAATCTTCCAATCGGTCCGTTGATAGAAGACTGTTGGCATGGCAACTTCAACTCCATGAGGTTGAACGCTGGTATACAAGTAACCATGTCCACACCCGACCATTCACAGTTTTGATCTCAACCCTGAGTGGAGTTGTGAAAAAAGCGACTCAAACCATGCCGTCGAGGAGCTTTTGGTCGATGAATGCCGAGTGTTCCGTGAGACTGGCCGAACTGAACGGGGTGGCCACGCAAGCCAGCACCCTCTCAATCAAGATCATTACCAAGGTTGAGTCAGTCTCGTCTACGAGTCACTGTCTCCGAAACCCTCCACTACCTACCTCTGACGCGACTGTAACCGCACCACCCAACCTGCACCGAACATGTCAGTGACTAAAGCTCCGCTAGGACCTCGTGCAATGGCCCAAAATGCAACAGCTGACTCTTCGGGGTCAACCTGGAAACGATCCTTTCCACAGTGTGGACACATGAGGTTGTACCCGAGATTACCACTGTTCAAAGCCCTAGCTGGATTCAAAGATGCCCACATGCCACGGGAACCACCCGGCGACGGTATTTGCGAAGCTCGCAGAAACTTTACGGGCTCGTCTGCCTACCTCTGCGCCACCGAAAAAGGTAGTGCAACCGTGATTGCCACCGGATTGTGAAAGGTCTGGGGTTCCAACCTCAGAAGGCTGTTCAAGAGGACATATTCCGTATGGTGATCGAGAAGTGCACGACATGGAGTTCCAAAAGTATGCAAGAAACTGTAGAATGCAGTTGAGACAATCAATGCCAAATGAAAGGGGTGCGGCAACACCATTTTGCAATGAGGCCGGTCAGTAACTTCTTCAAGTGAGATCTCTTTGATCGAAGCTCAGGACACTTTCGGAGCCCCCCTTCGAACACGATACTTTGCAGACCTTGTTGACCGGTGCTACGCAATTCGAGGCGCAGACGTCGACGAAATCCGGGGAAAGGTTGAAGGTACCAGAAGATAACTTTGGCAGATTAGCCCATCACATCGGCAGGCTAGAAGCAACGCGATCGTCCACAGATGCTGTTGTCGAAGCGATGATAAAAGTCCCATCTCTCCGGGAAATCTCCGGTATAACGGGACAACGGGCAAAGAATTGCACACCGAGAGAGGGACCGGAAGGAGTTGAAGATGGCAAGGGCCGTCTGAGCAAGGACTTGCACGACCGGACATCCGAACGGGACCAGGAGAAGGAGCTACGGCTTATGGTACAAGAGAAGATACAAAATGAGATGACAGGGCTTCAAAGAGACCTTACCAGCATCAGAGATCATCATGAGTTGGAGCCGCGATCTTTGAGATATTAGATGCTCTCCAAATCTCGCAGCCTCGCAGCATGCGATGATTCAGGCAATGATCGAAGAAGGAAGGCTAACAAGTCATGAAATAGCAAGTGTTGCCAGCTGCAGCCCCCGTACAATCACTACCTGCCGGACAAACCTGCAACTCTTAAGCAGTACGACGGCACCAAACAATGGCCGCGGAAGCCGCCCTCCGTCGATGATACAACAGATGCTTGGTGGCCTACTGGACCTCCTTCGCGGAAATCCCTTGCTGCTGCGACTGGAAGAGATGGTCACTTACTTATGGGA